TATATTATATATGGCTAAAAGAGGGGGAAAACAATATATTATATTATTTCATTGTGTATTTATTTATCTCATGGCTCTCCTGTAAGCACTGTTGTCATGAGATTATTTAATCTGTCAAACCCTGCCATCAGTGGGCGGGGCTACAGTGTGCTCTTCCACAGACACTGACGTCTGATTGGCTGCTTCACACAGCAAGCTATGATGAATTGACCTTAGATAATGAATTGGGCACAGTCAGAAAAGATTAGGATTGGTAACAGTCTTTGCATGGGTTTGGAAAAATAACAAAACAGATTAGGCACTATTGTTTGTATGTTTTCTTATTYTGTAAAGCTGGAAATACCTTAGACTGCTTTTTCTTATTCATCGCCTGGGGCCTCATGTATAAACGGTGCGTACGCATAAAAAAGTTGCGTGCACCAGGTTCTATGTCCACGTTGTGATGTATCAAAACCAACGTTGTATGAAAGTGTGCGTAAATATACGCACACATTTCAGCTGCCGTGAGAATGTGCGGCAGCCACACAAAGTTTTTCAGTCTACACTTTTAACTCACAAAGTCAGGAATCTGACCTGAATCCACAGAAATATGACTTTGTTGGGTTTTCTGGATGTAAGGAGCGTCTGAACACGCTGTTAGATTTTTATTTTAGTTTGAGTTTTTATTGTTTCAACTCAAACGATCATAAAACTGAACCCCGGGACTGAAAATCATTTAACCTCAGACAAGAAAACAGATCAGTCTAAATATGATCAATGAACCACAGTCCAGTTGTTTTTTTTTATTTTTGTCATGCAGTTGGAAACACACACAGAGCACAGGCCTGCGGAGCGCACACAGCTGAGGAGAATAAAATGTGTGAATTGTCTACGAACATTTTAATTCTCACTGAGAAAAAAAACTTTGTCAACTCAGCAGATTAATTCAGAACAGCTCAGCTGTGATGATTCCTCAGCTCCACAAGATGCAGACATTAGATTTGTTGCTGCGTAAAGTTGTGCTTAATTTATGTATCAATGACAGCTGTTCTGCAGGCTGATATCAGCACAAGAAGAATTGAGGACAGTGTGGTTTTTTTACACCGAACAAATTACAATCAATATTTTACTGTAGTTCTGAGTCGAGCCATGCAGCTGAATGAGACTTCATGATTCTAAAATATAAATCACACTGCGGCAGAAACATGCGGCGCCACGATTCATTTCTTCACATCAACTACTTAATAAATATTTTTCTAAGTTCTACCAAACTCATCAGTTCCTCTGTGTTTACAGTCATTTATTAAAGACGTGTAAAGGTGGAAACATCTCTCAGCTTCATGCGCTGCTAAAGACAGCAGCCTCACACACACACCTTTGAGTGTGGCAAACACATTTTTACACTCCACCACTTATTTAGACAGTTTTCTCACTCATTCTCCATTTAATGTATAATTTTCAAGCATCTAAAAATCATTTCTGATCCCACAGAGAGGACAATCGGAGGAGAATCTCACACGCTGGACACATTTACATCTATTTTACAGATTTAAATGGAGGCGTGTCAGGGGAGGAGTCTCAGGTGCGCTCAGCTCCACGTTCATTGGGATGTATAAAGGAAAGGTGCGCAGGAACATGAGTGCGCATGGTTTTATACATCTGAATATTTTGGTGCGGCGCACTTTTCTAAATTTGTCCGTACGTCAACTTTTAGTGTGAAAGCTGCGCACTCCTTTATGCATGAGGCCCCAGGGCTGGCGTACGCACGTTTCTGTGG